AGGTCCGGGGGTAACTGCCATAATGCTAACGTGTGAAAAGCTAAATGATCTTTTTGAGTACTCACCTGCGCAGGAACAGGTTGTGTCGTTACTCTTGGATCACGGAGCTGAAGTGAATCAACAGGATTTTTATGGACGTACTGCGCTTCATTATGCATATGACACTCATTCATATCCCTCAGAAAAAAAACAACGTGTTGTCAAAATCCTTATTCAGCACAACGCAGACATATATCTAAAAGATTCGTCTGGGCTTTCCGCCATTGACATAGCCAAGCGTAAGGGACACGAATCATGGTTAAAAACCGATGAAGCATCATCGACAGGGACATGCTTAAAGAGAGGAAAAACATCGTGTTCCATAAACTAGCCATAAACTTCATAAGCCTGCTCTAATCTGAATTAGTCCCTTATTCAAAAGAAAGCAAGACTCGTACGAGAAACTAAAGGTCTTTGGGAAAAACTTACATCTGATAAAAATAAAGAACTTTGCTATTACTTGGAACCCAAAACTAACTTTTGCGACCAAAGCACGTATAAACTTTCAATTACCTAGAGAACAATCGTTCAACTTTTTATACCATCCATGCCATACCGTACTTAATTATTGTCGTAATCAAGACAGTTGTTGTCCCCGAGCCGGCGGCGCGAAGCGCCGTGCGAGGGTACTAATTCCCCCCGGCTATTTACACCCGGGGAAACGAAAGCATTAGGGAAGTCTGAAGTTCATCAATGAGCGCGGGCGTCGGTCACCAACGATGGGTGGTCATCCTCACTGATCTCAAAAATATGGCGGACTGTCATTAAAAGCAGATACTGATTGGTCCAATTTAAAGTTTGCATTATAACGGCTGCATGACGACAGCGAAATAGCAAACATTTGACATTTCTTGATTTGATGAGTTGATGATTGATAAATTTCTTGCAAATATTCTTCATTTTTGCTCGTATTTCTGCACGATTTTATAAATTTCAAGAAAGAAAGGGCGAAAGAATCAGCTAAAAGAAGGGAGCCGACGTTAACAAAGGTAAGTTTGTTTTAAATATTGATTTTATAATGGCTTTAAAACCCGACGGCCTTTGCGTATATGAAACAACTAAACAAGACAGCATATAATTTCAGTGTATCTTTAATATTGATTCCCTTTTCTATTATATTGAATTTTTTAAATAAAAAATAAAGCAAAGTTATTTGCAAGCGAGAATTTGAAATTATTTTATTGCAAACTCAAAGTTTATCGATAAAGCCATTTAATAGTTAAAGGCAGTTTAGTTTTATAAAGAACACTTTAAAACGTTTTGTGAATTGTTTGTGGTTGAATTTTACCTTAAATTGAAGCTTGTATTGCGTATAATTACATACCTAACATAAATATGTTGGGAAATTGATAATTTTGTAATTAAAAGTGATATTTTTGGGCGATTTTCATTTGTAAGAATATTCTTAAAAAATTATCGTGTTACCATGACAACTACTTTAGATACTTCATGTCCGGAAAATACAACGGTTTTGTCAGCAAAGCGAGGGTTTCTGCATGCATGTATTTTCTAGTATGTATAGTAATTTTACTTATATGTGTAGGTAATAGGATGGTTTCCAGTGCGACTTGTCTTTGAAAAACTCACGAGTGCTTGTTTTTCCAAATTGCACGAGAAACCATACTACTAGAAAATACATGCATGCAGAAACCCTCGCCAGCCTTGCTGACAAAACTATTTTATTATATAAGTGTTATATAGAGATTTTGGCCACTGAGAAATATCGTATTTAAACACACGTAAAAAATACGATATTTTTACGTGTGAAAATATCATTTGTTGTAAAACGCATTGCCACGGAAGTCACTGAATTTTGTTTATATAATAAACAGAAAAATACATGGGTGCTTGGAAATACCAGATTTATTTCTCGTGTTGAACATGATATCTCACTCGTTCGCTGCGCTCACTCGTGAGATATCATGTTCAACACCGGATAAATAAATCTGGTATTTCCAAGCACCCATGTATTATTCTCTATGTATTTTCTGAACATGAAGTATCTAAAGTAGTTGTCATTGTAACACGATAATTTTTAAGAATATTCTTACAAATGAAAAATCGCCTAAAAATATCACTTTTAATTACAAAATTATCAATTTCCCAACGTATATATGTTAGGT